AAAATAAGTTATAATGTTTATTGAGAAAGAAAGTCTTATTAAAGCAAAAGTTCACTGGGGAAATTTAACGCACCGTTAAACGAGCAAAAGACCGAACATCACCAAATCTATCTAATGGTAAACGCTCATCAACAGCAAATTGAAAAATCAATTCAGCATTTAGAACAATTGAAATTAGTTCATGAACAGAAGCAAAACAAATTAGGAGGCAAGGCTAATTGACCGGTTATTTTAGGAGTTGGTGGAGCCATAGCAATTTTGGGAGTAGTAGGATTATTTGCTGGTCGCTTCCTTCTAAAAACAAAAAGGAGATAGTTTTTTAATAAATAATAAATGGTTTTCAAGTCAGTGATCCGTCCCTATTCTTAATATATATTCGGCTTTTTTCAGTTCCGTCAAAATAAATAGCATATTTTACATCTTTCCCTTGGGTGGCACTCAGAGTTCCCATTGCCGGAAGTAATTGATGCTTGATAGCTGATTCAATTTCGTGAGAATTATTTTTTACTTCGGCCACAGCAAAAACTTTGCCATTCTTTCTGATAATTAAATCTATTCTTACCGAGTGATGGCCGTCTCTACCGACCCGGACTACATATTCAAAATCGCCTCGTTCAATTTTGTGTCCTCTTCTTAAAAGTCATTTAACCAACTTAATGGTTCAATATTCTTCGCTGTATTGGCCATTAGCAGCATATTTTCCTCTTTTTAACCTTCCCCTAATTGGACAAATGAGGATATTGTCTGGTACTTTTTTTTTGAGTGGTTCAACTCTGATAAGTCAACTTATTAAAGCAACCAACAAAATAAGAACTACCAAAGAGATTAAAATTATTCACCAATAATTAATAAAAAAATTCTTTAATTTTTCCAGAATAGCCGTTAGTTTACTCATTGTTGTTTATTTTTAACGCCCTGATTGTGTGTTTTTTATCGAAAGCGAATTAATGTGCTTCGGTAGAGAGAACTTTTTCTTCGTTAGCAGCAGCGACCGCCGCTTTCTCTGTGGACAGCCCAGCATCCTTTTTTAGTTTGCTTTCACGAATAATTTCAGCCACTTTATCAATCAAAAAGGCAACTGAACTTTCCGTGTAGTCATTGCCTAGAATTAAATAATCAATCAAATCAGGATCACCATCCGTATTACAAATAGCAATAACCGGAATATTTAAACTCTTAGCCTCTTTAAGAGCAGTTTTTTCTTTTTTTAATCCGATAATAAATAATAAAATCTTACTTCGTTTCTCTTCTCGCGGAGAAGTGAATAAACAGTCATACTTTAGTAAATCCAATACCCCTTCGTAAACTTCTTTTAGCTTGGTGATTTCTTTTTCTAACTCAGCTTGTCTTTTTTTAGACAGAGAAGCAAACTTTTCTGATTTTTGAAAATAAAGTAAATCTTTTAAGTGCTTTATTTGTTGGCGAATGGTACGAAAATTGGTTAAAAATCCTCCTGGCCAATAATTAGCTAAATAAGGAGATTGGCAACTAATAGCGGCTTGCTTAACGATTTCTGATAAATGAGGAGAAGTACCTACAAACAAAACTATTACATTTTCTTCTTCAATCATTTTTTCCAATTGGCTTTTGACGTAGAAGAAACTTTCTATAATCTCTTGTTCCTTAAAAAGATGCAATTTTCTCTCTTTTCTAACATAAGGTCGCATTTTAGGGTTTCAACGGTGCGTTAAATTTCCCCAGTGAACTTTTGCTTTAATAAGACTTTCTTTCTCAATAAACATTATAACTTATTTT